TTAGAAACTCTTACAGTACTTCTTAAAATCCAATTATCACCTGCACATTTTCTGATTCTTTGTCAACACCAATATGATTCAGAACAATGATACAATGAAAAATGAGCCAATTTCCAAAGCAGGCAAACCCAAAGATCAGAAGAAGAAAAAAAAGACAAAAGTGTGGTGACTGGGTTTGGATCTGAAAGTGGCGTTTCAGATCCAAAAAGACAAAGCACGGGCAATTACTCAAATAGTCAAGATATTCGGGTTTACGAATCAAACCAAGATCAACGTCATACAGAACAAGTCATGTCTTTACTGGGTCCTGAATCTATTGATCCAAATTGTTGTATTATACCTCCAATGACAGCACAGATTTTGATAACAGCAAAGATTAGCCTGAAACTGCCATTCTCAAGAGCTGAATCTGATGCATAGAAATATTAGCAAACTTGGAATCTATAATTGGCTCCAAATGCAGCCACCTACCTTTTGACCCAGTTTACTCATTCCAATAGTATAATTACAACCGTGCAGGATTGCTTTAGCTGCTGGTAGGCTTCCAGGCTTCCAAGGTACTGCACTGTTACCTACAATGCTCTTAGAAGTTCTTCTACCCTACACATTAGTATATTCTCTAACACAAGAGGATGTACTAAATGCCTACTCATGAAAATCTGTGGCTCAAGATACAGAAAACAATATTTCAAAGAAATAAGGTTTGACACCTCTGCTCTAGATGGACAGTTCTACCTAACTGGGGAGCAGAGGAATATTTGGTCTGATGATGTAAGCAGATGTGCAAGTCTGTTCAAATTGGCAAATATAAGACATTCAAAGTTTGAACAGCTCCGTGATGTGGATATGCTGTATCATAATTCCCGTCAACCCCAGCCTTCATGGCTCAGAAGATGATTGGAATATGGAAAACATTGAAGTACTGACAAAACGCACATAAGAGAGAAGTAATTCAATATTACTTTTCATTGTAGTTTAAGTTTTCTAAAAATGAAAGCAAAAAAAAAGAGCAGTATTACACTTGGAATGAGGAAAATAAAAATGGAAATACAAACATGACTTTCCATACACAGTAAATGTCCCCACTTACAAGATGCATATAACTAAATATATTCAGTTTGATCCATAGGTTGCAAAGTTACTTCACCTTTTATTCTGGAAAAATAGACAAAAACTATGGTCAATCCCTGTTATCAGTTTCTGATGCCCAAAGGGACAAATAGATGGAATTATACTCAATATTTAATCTCCAGGTAAAAGGTTTAACAGCCAAATTAAAGATTGCTTTTTCTGCCACATTCAGAGATTAAGTGGGCAATTGTGTTGAAGAAGCATTATATTTCTTACTAATTTATTATCTTCCACTTTCTGTTGGGGCCTACATAGTTTCAGTGTTTGGATAACAGAAAAAAATACAAAACAAAGACACACACTATCATTATGTATTAAGAAATTCCAAACGCAGGTGGGGCAGGTATTTTTCTATGCCACGCCTGGCCAGCCTCTTATCCAGCAGAATGCTTTATAGCGATTCCTGAAATTTATCAGCAGAAATAGTTCAGTTCCTATAAATAGATGAGGAAAGTAATAGAAACAGGCACAGAGATAAGATCCATTTGGATATCATTTAGGTAAATTCAATCTACAAAAAGCACACATGACAAATCTGGATTATTCAAGATACATATGAAAATTTCTGAATGAACCTATTATAACTTTTTTTAGAAAGAAAAACTGCATAAAGTATTACATAATTTGGAAATCATTCTAAAATAATATATCTTGGCAAACAATGTAGCAAGTAATTTATTTGGGATTTTAAATGTTCCATGTATGTTTACATATACAAACAAACGTGCAGTGTATGTACATATGGCTTAGGCAAGCAAGGGCAGCTATGAAATTTGTGGAAGTACCAGTAGGAACAGCACCAATATGATGCACTGGTGGGTGGGTGGACATGTGCGCACACATGTGTGCATGTGTTGACTCCTGATGCCCGCCTGCACTAGTTTCTACAGTTTTCTTGGCATCATTTTCAGAAGTGGGTTGCCATTGTCTGCTTCCTAGGGCAGAGAGAAAATGGTGAGTCCAAAGTCACCCAGCTGGCTTTGTGTCTAAGGTGGGACCAGAAATCACAATCTTCCTGTTTCTAAGGTAGCTTGATGATTTAACCACTACACCACAATAGCTCTATGACACACTGTTGGAAAAACATTAATTATTCAGTCCAGATCCTCTTCCAAAATATTTCCATGCATTCCCCTCCATTTCTTTTACCCTACAGAAATTAAGAATATTTTTTGATGAAAACAACCCGCTTTACATTCTGGTTCTCCCCAAAATAGGTTGTACTTATTGTGCTCTCTCTTCCCTCTGGCTTCAGACTTCCCTGGAAGCACACTGCCACTTGAGTTTTTGGGACTGGTTAAATAACTCTGTTATATAGCTTTAAGAAAAGAAGGAGTTCCAAGCAGTTCAGCTTCTGGGTGATCAACAGACTAGTAGAGAACACAATTTGTTGCCTGCATATGTTTTCATGTTCTATCCCTGAGAGCAACGGATTGTAAACAGACAATTTATACCACAGGAAAATGAAATTAGAATCAGATTAGATTAAAATGGTTGCTAGATTAAAGAAGTTTATAGGGCTCAGGTAGGAAAAGGCCAGCCTTTTCTTCTTGAATATTCTTTTTATACTTAAAATGTAAGTCCAAATAGTATGCTTGGTCCGGAATGGGACAACTCACTGCAGCCAATTCGCCATAGCCAACTTGCCATGGGACGATTCTCTACGGCCAACTGACCACGGGACAAGAATTGCACTAATATTGCAGAAACCATGGAATAGAATAATTCATGAAAGGATGCCAAAGGAGGGACAAAATGAAATCTGAACAACAAAAATTAAAATATTTTTGAATCATTTTAAATAATTAAATTTAATTGTTGGACTATCGCGCAGCAAGTTGTCCTGTGACAAATTGACCATGGGGAGTTGTTCTGCAGTGAGTTGGCTGTGTTAGGTTGGCTGCAGAAAGTTGGCTACGGCAAGCTGACATATACCCTTCTGGGTCTGCCTAATAGGGAGAGGAGACCAGCCAGCTCATCTACACTTGCTTGTGTTGCTTCATCTGGAGTAACAATGCCTAAACTGGACACCCCCCTGAAGAATTGAGAGGTACAGAAGGCTCTTCTTTCAACTTTTCAAGCAAGCAAGAATTAGTGTAGGGCTACACTAAGCCAATCCATTGAAATTACACTCCCCCCAACTGGAATACCAACCTGCAACTGAGACATTTTGCTTAGACACAAGCATGTCTTCATCATGTTCCTGCAAAGAAGTAATTAACTGTATCTCCAACAAAGCTAACAGGAATAGCTCTCTCCACCAATTGAGTGGACTGTAGGTCAAGTTAAAGCATATACACACATTCCTTTCTTTAAAACTTCAATGCTACTTCCTCCTGATACAAGAACTTCTTTAACGGAAAACCTGTATCACACGTACACACAGAGACATTCAGCCAAAAATGATAACAGAATGAGCAGCAAGGGAAGAAGTAATTGAAATTGGAAATTTTAATAAATGGAATTTGGTAAATGCATATTCTAACTATGTCTTTACTACCTACTGTATTGTTATGATGAATGTTTTTCCAGGGAAGAAGAAAATGGAAATGCCTCTCAGCTCAGAAATAGAATAGCCAGGCCATATTTTACAGAACAGAATAATGTGGAGAAATAAAAGTGATTGAAGAAGTGGGGGGGGGGGGTGTTTGAAAAAAAGGCCAGTTTCTAAATCTTTCTTCGACCTCAAATCAGCAAAACAAAGAAAAAAGAATCATAAATACAGAAGGAAATAGAGGACCATATAGATTGCTGTTTCTCAACCTCTGAGGCTGAAAATTATTGATCTTGCTTGCATTTCCTTCTGTTCACAATATCAAGCATGTACACATACATGTTTTTCAATTCTAAACTTAAAAGAAAATTCAAAAGTGGAGTTGTTTTCCATACTTCAGGTGGAATAATTTCTTTTCATGATGAGAAATGTCTTGCTCTTGGGCTGTACGGCTCCACTTTGAAGGAAGGAAGTTATTGTTATTTGTTCCAAGAAGGAACACAGGAGTGGTGTAATTTTTGCAGAGATCTTGCAAACCCATGGGGTGCTGGAATGTGATGGGGTGGAGGAAGAAAGGTTGGTGATGTTGTTGATACAAAAATGGACAAAGATTCCTGTTTGCAATGCAGCTGACTCCTCATAGAGAGAGCTTCAGTTCTGTTACTGTCATCATCATTCCAATACAGTAAATACAACGAACACGACACCACACACAGTGTTATCACTTTTCCAGCTGTTCTGAAGAAGAAGAAAAAGCCACAGCTAGAGTTTTTAGCTGATCTTTTAACAAGGAACAACCACACCATCACTGTTGTTTTAAAAAATATTTCTCCTGGCTCTGATGCTTAACTACAATGCAGAGAGGACTACAAAAGTTTTGATTTT